TTTAAATAAGGGCTTGTGGTGAAAGTGTGTCATTGCTAATGTCAGTGAATTGTAGTAGTCATAATTGGGCATTTTTACCTGCATGAATCCATTTTTTGATGTTGTACACTTTGGGCATGCTGAGATTGTGTTCTTTTTGTCCAGTAGCATCGCATATATAGCCTACATGCTCTTGCATTCCCCTCCTTGAAACCATGTTTTAGGTCCTATTTCATTCTAGCTCTCGGTCCCAGAGAGCCGTTTGATTCCACAACACTCTACTTGAAAGTCAGGAAGACACAACTAAAATTTCTGGACAGAACCAGAGTAAGATGAGTATTTCTGAGTTTACTGTGGTGCCAACAAGCTGGGACCTGCTTATGCTATTGCTCCACCCTTGTCAGGAGGCAAACAGGCAGTGCAAACAGTAGTATCTCAATAGGCCTTTCAGCTGCCCAAAACAAACACAGATCTGGTAGGCTGTCTTGGCAGGTGATATGCAGCCAACCATGATGAATTTCTCTTCCATAGTTCAGGTTTGACATAGATCTGTTTCTCTATACAGAAAATATCTTGCTTTGTGCTCTGAAGCAGGTGTCAAGCTTCAGACCTTCTTTGTTGTCCCACTCTTCTCTATGCCTACTTAAGTATGGTTGAGGGGGGAGGGGTCTGGATTTGAGAAAATGGAGGGTCAGTGCAAGTCTAGCAGTCAGCGGCATTTAGGTGCCCCTCAGATTCACTATTGTCCATTTTGGGAACTAGTTTGTTAGGAGAATAGGCCAAGACTGGTCCACCACGCAATAGAAGCCTTTTGTAAGATTGCATTACTGATCAAAGTAGGTGTCTTTCACCTGAGCTCATCCTTTACATTTGACTATTTAAAAATTTATAGGAGGGGTGTTTTATGGTAGCTCCAGTTCCCGTGTCTTCAGCAATTTTTGTTTTGCCAGTGTTACAGCCCATATAGTAAGCCATTTTTGAGCCCTGCTAACATACTGTCTTCAGTTGCTCATGCTTGAAGCTTGCTCCCTGAAATCAATTCAGTCTGAAGAGTTAGGAAAGCTACTGTCTGCTTTAGTTAACTTGGGTTAAGGTGCTTCTGTGGTTCTTCTACCTCCTTTTCCTTCATTTTCCAGTTGCTTAGCATGTTAGTTTTATTTCAGTTAAACCAGAATGTTAGTTGTACACATTCTTTCCCAAGTCGCTTTGACACCTGGGAGATCTTTAGGCCCATTAGTTTTGTTGGTAGGGAAAAGCATAAGAAAATGAGGACTTTGTTCCTGGTTTGTCCAAGAAGACTGCTAGCTAACAGAGGGGCTCTTTTCCACTTCAAAAACAAGTCCTGGCAGCATCTGTCTGCATAAGAAAAGTGTTTGTGGATGTCTGCTGCTGCTTCATCCTGGGTGTTTCTTTCCACAAAATAACTTAACAGGAGCCCCGTTCTTTTGTTCTACTTAAGTGGCTAAAGGTAGCTGAGACTCAACTGATTCTTATCTTGCAGACTTTGAGATTTACTATTTGTTGCCACAAGTGGGATGAGAGTAGGCAGAATGTGAGGGAACAGATCTTATGCAACCTGTGGTTGTTCGGACTCTGTGCAAGTTTTACTTGGCTTGCATTCCTCCTCTGCCCCCATTTCTTCAGCACAGTTGATGCCGAGATGAGCTGTTAGCAAGGGGACAGCAGAGTCTAAGCTAAGCTACCTTTATATAGAAGCTACACACATCTGGGGTGATTGAGTAGTTTTAGAGTCTGTGCTCTGCACAGGTGAGCAGTCTCCATGGACTATGCCAGGTGCATACTGCCTGAATAGTCTGAAGTGGGCTTGCCTGGGAGATGTGGAAACTAAAGAGACCCAGTTACTGAAGAGATTTAATGGTGGGAAACTTTTTTTCCTGTGTACAGAGTGGCACCATTTTCTGCTCTTTCCAAGAGTGAGTGAGAGCATAGAAGCTGCTGTGGTGAGCACAGGTTCAGAACAGAGGAATGTCGCTGGGCATTGAAACCAAAATGAAGGTTTCATTCTCTTGTCTCCTGTCTGCCTTCTGATAAACACGGAAACTGCAGCTAAATTTCGCAATTCTAACCTTCGGTGTAGGCTTTTTCATGTCATAATGTAATCTATTGTATGATAATTAGCCATCCAGAGCATAACAGAGGCACTTAATTATTTTTATGCAAATTGTGCTGAGGACTTAATTTTATTTCATGGTTAAATGTTTGTGTATGGAGGGGAAAAAAAATCACAGCACTACCCACACAAAATTGATGTATCAGTTGCAGATAGCTTTATAACCTTGTCTGTTTATCACAAATGGGCTTTGGCAAGAAATGTTATAAATTGCACAGGTACTGTAATTGCCTGTGGTAATGAGATGGGGTTTCAGAACCTGCATATGTTCTTACAGGGTAAGTTTTGCCATGTTTCAAGCTAAGGCACAGATTTCTAGTGGTGTTCTACTTCTCTCATACTCTTACAAATTCCATCATGTAATCTGTTCACTTGCGCTATGATTTACTGCAAAGGAGCTAGTAGTACAAACATTTCCATCTCTTTTTAATCTCTTACTGTAGAAATAAAACTTTGCTTAAAGCAGCCAAATTTTTTTTTTTGACAGCATGCCTTAATCCTGTTATGTAATACAGGTGTGTATGACTTGTTGTTCAGTCACTGAATGAAAAGATAGAAGAACTAATACTCCCTTAGAAAGTTAAACAGTTTTCTTGGAATAGCTGCTTAAATAAATGAGAGATTGTGTCTTCCCCCCACCTCCCCTCAAAAAAGGCTGAATTAATGGATGCTTTCATACCAGCCCTTAGGTATTCTGAATCTTAATTGAAACTTGAATGAGGCTGGAATGTTGTTTGTTCTTGTGCGTGTGTGTGCAATTTTAAAAAGACATTTACGCTACAGCTCTTACTACTGACACCTGTTTTGATTCCTGATTGTTCCCTTTTTCGACTCCTAAATGATACACACCAGGAGGGGCTGCTTATTTTTTTATGTAATTTTGAGTAAAACTTATTTTTGTTGAATTTCTTTATGTACTTACTCTAAGATGTTAAGGAGTTACACTCTTAGAATAAAAGACCCTTAATGTTATTTCACATAAATATTTACATGTCAGTTTGACTTTCTGAATACAGTAAATCTTTTCCTGAAAGCTGATAGCATTTTAAAGAAACAAAATCAATTTAATATTTTTTCTTTGCTTTCATGTATGAGAAGAAATTACTGAGAGAATTGGAGCCATAGGAATGAAGACATAGCTAGCACGGATGAATATGTTTTTCCCCAGAATAAACCAGAAGGGTACAGGATACTTTTCTGCCCGTAAAGGTACTAAAATCCCAGATAGCAGAGAAGTTATAAGTTTCATTAAAGGAGAGCATTTTGAGTATATAGAAACTGGCCTGATTGCTTGCGATAAAGCAGCAGTGCTTCAGGTGAAAGCTGAACCCACATTCCGGGATTATCTGATGTATATTATCAAGAAATGTTCCTTGTATGTTGGAGGAAATATAAACTCAGTGCTATTAAATAACCTGGAATAAAACAGGCTTCTACCAGTCATAGCTTGCTTGTAGCAGAGTGTAATACACAGGAAAAACTAATGTAGAAAGAATCATTACAAACCTGTATTTCTCCATCTGAGTTTTGAGTGTTGAAACAGCAGAATGATAACTGAGAATTTGCTTCCATACTTGAAAGCAGACAGACACGCACAGTGACCCAGAATAAAGAACACTGTTAGTAGCAATAATACTGTCAACAAATACAGCTTTTTATCAACCATGTGCCCAATTAATTTTTTTGGACTTTGTGCAAGCTTAATTGAAAACAGTATAGACGTCTGCCTGTGCTCTACATTGTTTACATCTCAAAACTTCATAGACAGCTGTTTAACAAATTGGAAAAATAAAGCAATAGCAAAATCTACGGTTTAAAAATCTGAATTCTTCCTCCCAGTGCTGAGTTATTTCTGTAGGTTGTTGCCTTGACTTTTTTATTTATTTATTTATTCTTCATTTGAACCTCAAGTATAGCTGAAGGTTATGTGCCTTGGAGGGTAGTGGTGTGTGCCCAAATTTCACTTCATTTCAGTTAGGTGCACACTCCTTTGGGCTGCCTTGTAAATACCAACCTCTTTGTATGTGTGTTTTTTTTAACCTGATAGCATTTGTTTTGTTATATTTGATCTTGGCATGCATGTATATTAGCTCCCTGGTAGAGATGAGTTGCATCCAAGACACTGTACGAGTGCAGTGCTGTTTATCAAGTAGTAATTTCAGACTTGATTTAAATATATTTAATTTAGCTTGAAGGGGTGTGCATGTTGAAGAACAAGCTTGACAAGATCTTGAAGTGTAAGTTGTAACAAGGCAAATGTGATCTGTAAGGAGTTTGTAGCTCCAAAGAGCAGTACTAAGAGTTGCTGATGCAGATAAAAGAAGAAAGATTTGTTAGAAGATGAAAAATGTGGAAGAAAATAGAGAATGGATGAATTATAAAATAAGACAGTTGGGAAAGAGATTGCTCAAGCCAGTCTTGAAAAAAATAACACAATTTATAGAAAGAAAGTTCTTCTATTTACCTTCAAGCTAAGCTACTAAAAAGAATTGAATAAAATTATGAAATAGAAATTAAAAAGAGAAAGAAGTAGAAAAGAGTGTTTTCAGTCTTTTCTCCTTTTAAAATATGCTTACATGTTGTGTGGCGTTGTCCCTTCTCCTGTGTGTGTGGGTGAGAGTTCAGTGGTCTGAACTGATTTGTCAGACCTTCTTTGGATTTTGTGACTCCTAACTCTTGCACTAAAGCACGGAAAGATCATGTCTCCCCTCTCTCAAGTTCTTACAGCAATGGTAGGGAGACAGAATCTAGAAACCATTTAATCTTTTCTCTTTGTTAGGAGTCATACATTGGTTTGTCCTTTGGTTATTTGGTCGGAAGTCTTACCTTCCTATTTCTGTCCCTTAGTAAAGGCAAGTGCCAAATCCTGCACCTGGGGAGGAACAAACCCATGCACCAGTACATGCTGGGAGCTGACCATCTGGGAAACAGCTTTGCAGGAAAGGACCTCGGGGCCCTGGTGGACACCAAGTGGAACATGAACCAGCAACGTGCCTTTGCTGCAAAGAAGGCCAATGGTATCCTGGGCTGCATGAGGGGGAGTGTTGCCAGCAAGTTGAGGGAGGTAATCCTTCCCTTCTGGTTGGCACTGGTAAGGCCTCACCTGGAGTGCTGGGTCCAGTTCTGGGCTCCTCAGTAGAAGAGGTATACAGAGATACCAGAGAGAGTTGGGTGAAGAGCTGCTGAGATGATTAAGGGACTAGAGTATCTGTCATAGGAGGAAAGGCTGAGAGAGCTGGGAGTGTTTAGCCTAGAGAAGAGAAGGCTCAGTATATCAGTGTATATAAATACCTGAAGGGAGGGTGCAAAGAAGATGGAGCCAGGCTCTTTTCAGTGGTGCCCAGTGACAGGGCAAGAGGCAGTGGGCATAAACTGAAACACAGTAGTCTCTGTCTGAACATCAGGAAAAGCTCTTTTACTGTGAGGGTGACCAAGCACTGGAACAGGTTGTTCAGAGAGGTCGTGGAGTCTCCAACCTTGGAGATGTTCAGAAGCTGTCTGGACATGGTCCTGGACAACCTACTGTGGTTCTCCGTACTTGAGCAGGGGGATTGGACCAGGTGACCTCCAGAGGCCCCTTCCAACCTCAGCTGTTCTGATTCTGTTTCTAATGTGAGCATTTGTTAAATTAAAAAACAAACAAACTCTGAAGATATCAGGGACTTAATACCACAAAGGCATTTTGGACCACAGAAATACAAGTGATGGTGTTCATTTGCCCATGATAGTGGGGCAGAATCAAGTCTCTGGACTATTTGTCACTTGCTCTTGCAAATATCAAAGGCAAGAGATCCCACAACATCCTTAAGTACCTTGTTCCTTTGTTTTAGTGTTCTAACTATTAAAACTTATTCTAATACAGATAATCTCAGCTGCAAGTTTAAACTTTCCTGTTCCACCCAGACCCTCGCTGATTGCTGTCCTCTTCATAACGCACTTCTGTGTACTGAAAGAGTATGTTTAGATTTTTGTGGTTGGACTGTAGGTTATTAAGTGGTAGGCAGGTTATCCTTTTGTATTTTTTGAGACAAACATCCAAGCACTGTATTACTTGTTCCTTATAAGCCACATTTGCTAAAACCATTATCCTTGCAGTTGTCTCTTCGGTGCTTTCTCTTAATCTATCAGCAGTTTAAAACATAGACCCCCAAACTGAGTGCAAGATTCCAACTGTGATGTGTTATTAGCACCAAAAAACTGAAATTGCTTTCCCAACTCACTGATTGTCTAGGATAACACTCCTAGAAAACGAACTTGCCTCTTTTGGCAACACCCTAGTATTGGCCGTGTACATTTTTTAATCCACTATGAACACCCCATTCTCCTCTGCTGTACTGCTTCATTGATTTATCTCCTCTGTATAGTATTTTATGTTTGATGGGCTTTTTTTGTGTTTAAACCTCTTTTGGTTGATACTTCACTAGTACCATTTTGACTTTTCAGTGTAATCTTTAAAAAAATTATTGGTACAGAATTGTTTATTTAGGACATTTTTGCCTAAGTTATTTGAGCTACAGTCTGTCTTGATGCCATCTATAAATGTTTAAAAGCATATCATTCTGTCATCTAAACCGCTAATTAAACTGTTAGAAATAATCAGATCCAGAAAATAACTTTAAATGCCCTTCTGCTGGTTATTTAGCTGCTGCCTTCTGAGTGCATTTGATTAAGCAGATGAGTCCCCACATCATTGTAGTTTACATCATATTTCTCTAACTTGTTTATGAGAGTATTTAGGGGAATTTATGTTGGGAGCCTATTAAGATTGAACTATACTTCACCTGCAGTTTTCCTTTCAACCTTTAGGTTAATTGCTTTGTTGGAATCGGGAGAACAGGCTTTTAGATGAAATAACATCCATCTTAATCCTTCCTTCAGATGTATTTTCTGCATTGTGGTCATTTGGACACCTAAGTGGGAGACCTGGATCCCTGTGGAAAGTAGTGTGTAAGGAGTATGTCCTGCGGAAATACTTAAAATGCCCTTGTCTGAGGGGAAAAAAAGAAAAGTAACATATATTATGTACTTCTCCTCCTGTGAAGAGAAGCCAAGTATTTTGCAGTGAAACATGAAACACTGAAAATTTGCAGAAATAGCCCATTCTAACTATGGAAAGAGGGAAGTCCTACTCTGATAGATAGTAGAGGCCACAAGCTGGAGAAGGTAGCAGTTAAGAGTTTTGAATTTTATTTAAGGAGCAGGGTGGAAGAAATAGTATATCAATAGGCTCCTAGCTTGTAAATGCAGTTGTCTTCATACTGTTTGCTATAACATTTACTAGACAAATCAACCTCCCTCTGAGGTAGACTGAGAATAAATAAATAAATTTAAAAAAGTTGTCCAGGACCTTTCTTCTAGGGAACATGGTATGTGTTTTGTGTATCAGAGGGGTTTTTTTCCTCTTTGTTCTTTTTAGTGTGGATTTGCTTGCTAGTAATGAGTAGAGATAGGATACGGTAATGTGAAAGGGCTTACATAAACTGCCTTCTTGGAGTGGACCATTTTGTATTTTGGGAACTTTTCCCTTTGTATTTGTATCACTGAAGTGCCACTGTGTTATTTTGAGGATTTACTTTGGATATTACTGTTTTCCACTTCAGTGGTAACTCTTCTCATGGAAGAATTAGTTATGGAAGCAGATTTGATTTTCTGATATCTTCAGTTAATAAAGGAAAAGAAATAGATGGGTTTTCCTTGTTAATAGTAGGAACTCTTGAAAAATGGCATATGGGAGATTCGTTGGCATTAACAGTACACATCTTCTTTCCAACTGTTGATTTCTAAGCCATTCAGACACCCATGGACCGACTTGTTGACGGTGAGGCTGTGTAGATGCAGGGTCCTGGAGCACTCTCTATCTCTGGAAGAAGCAAGCCAGCAGGCATTTTTGAGGCTCGTGTTGCTAAGATGTAATTGCATGTGGATCCTCCTATCTGTAATAGAGCAGGAAGATTCCTATCTTGGCCCCTTCTGGAGAGAATTATTAACCCAGTAAAGCAGATGCTTCATGGTGTATCTGCAAATGAAGAGACTTCATTGTTGTTTTGAAATCAGTTATTCCAGCCTTCTGCAGAAAATGCCATTTCTTCTTTTCAGCAGAAAGTGCCATCTCCTGCAGAGGTCTCTGAGCATACATTAAGCATTGTTGTGTTGACTGCTGATCAGCACAGTATTTTTATTAGCCTTTCTACTCTTGTCGAAAAGAATCAGGAATTGAAGGAGTGACCCTCCTCTTTTGAGGTGGGCAGGGAATACTGTGGTGTATCTTCTCATGTGTCCTATGTTGCAAAGCATCTACTGTTGTTTCTGTATGTCTCAATACAGAGACAATGCAATTGACAACATAGAGACAACACAATTGTAAAATATTGGAAGTATTTTCAAATACCTCTTCTGTCACTAGGTGCAGATACTCATTCTGATCTGTTTTTTGACACAAAATGGCCTTAACTATCTTTGAGAGGTATTTTCCTTCTGTCTTTGAATTCAGATTTTCCTTTGAAATATAAGTTGAGACCATGATGAAGTGTCATAAGGTGATACTGTGTAAGCTACTGAACTGTAAAATCCTGAAGTTATGAAACCAATTTCATTTATTCAATAGAAGAAAAAATGATGTGGTATATTAAGTGGTAAAGTTGCTGTCCAAAACTCTCTCTTCAGAGGAACTTGAACAGGAAAATGCTTAGTATAACTAGAACATATTCTTGTTATAGGAGACTTTTCTAGATGCTTTCAGTTCATAGTTGTGTGGGTTGGAATGATAGTCCAAACTCTTACTCAAAGCAGAGACAAAACTGAATTTAGAACAGGTTTTTATTTTAATTCAGACTGAGGGCTTTGTCCTGTCATGAAAACATACAAAGATGGAGATTCTACAACCTCTCTGTGCAGCCTAGTGAGAAGATTTTTAGTGTTTCTAGATGGAACGTTTCCTATTTTAGTTTGTCTCGTTTTCTTACCATGCATCTCAGTAAAGAGCCTGGCTCTATCTGACTTTGCAGCTACTTCCGCTTAGATATCAGAAGATTGCTCTTGTGTCCCCCCAATCCTTTTTTTTCTAGGCTAAACTAGCCCAGTTCCTCCAGCCTTCATTCACAAGGAAACTGCTGCAATCCCCTGTAGACTGGTGGCCTTTTGCAGAACTTACTCCAGTTATCAGTGTCATTCTTGTACTTGTCCCAAAACCAGATGCAGTTTCCCAGATGTGATCCAGCAAATGTCCAGTAAAGAGGAATAGTGAGTTCCCTCGATCTGCCTGCTGCACTGGTGTTGATACAGTCCAGTGTGCTTGTTGGCCTTCATTGTTGCCAGGGCACACTTGTGGTTTGGGTTCAGCTTGCTCTCTGCTAGGAGCCTCATCCTTTTCAGCAGAGCTGTTCCCCAGCTAATCAGACCCCAGCCTGTACCACTGTAGAGGGTTAGTCCATCCCAAGAACAGAACTTTGTTTATGTTTGAATTTCATGTGGTTCCTATTGGCCCATTCTGCCAGCCCATCTAGGTTGCTTTGAATGGCAGTCCTTGCCCTGGAGGATGTCTGCTGCATCCCCCCAGCTTGATGTTTTCCAAAAAACTCAATGAGGATGCGTTACAGTTGTGGAACTCTATTTGTAACTGGCCTCTGTGTAGACTATGAACTGATAACTACTGCCTTTGAGCCCAATCATCCAACCAGTGTTTCATCCACTTGTTAGTTAATCCATCTAGACTTTATAATATACCAACTTGGATTCAAGGATGCTGTCAGTGACAGCTGTTGAATGCTGTAGAGTCAGGATAAGCAACATCGCCTGCTCTTTTCTCATCCACAGATCTAGTCATTTTGTCATAACAGATAATCAGGTTGATGAAGCATCATTTACCCTTGGTAATCCATGCTAGTGTTTTTCCCCATCATCATATTCTTTGTGTGCCCTATAGTATTTTCCAAGAAGATGTGTTTTATGATTTTTCACTCCGATTGAAGAAAGGCTGGCCAACCTGTAGTACTTCAGATTGTATTTTTAGCCTTTTTGAAGATGCACGCAGCATTTGCTTTTCCCTAGTCATTGGAATCTTCTCCA